AGCTTTTCATCAAGCCACTTAGCAAGCTTGTAGTTGTAGGTTCTTGTTGCTGACAGGATTGGACGGACCGTTAGTTTCTTCTTGTGGGTCTTTGGCAAACCATAAAGGTGTGCGAGCCTAGAACCCTGTTGGATCAGTGAGTCGGCTATGGGTTTCGGAAGAATTCTTTGCACGATGGGGGACAATTCCTTCTCCTTTTTAAGTAGTGGGTGGTAATGCTTCGGAGGTCTTCCTTTTGCTTTTGGTCTTTCGAGACTGATGGGTATAAATTTAGTTTCATCACTAACAGATGATTCCTTCAGTAGGCTGACATACTCTGTTTTGTCTAAGATCACGACTCCCGAGCCTTTATCCGGTCGCGTAATTACAATATCGTCTCTCTTCTTTAGGTGACCTATCGCTCTCAACATTGATTTTGGTGGTGTCGGGCCTTTCCTCTTGATGTAGGTAAGGGCAATAGAACGTAGCGTTGCAGCTGCTAATTCTTTGTTCTCATCGCTTAGTTTCGGCTCTAGTTTCCAGAAGGCTTTTTCAAAGGTTGCTTGTATTTCCATTGGTGAAACTGGCTGTGGAAGAGCGAAGTCCAGACCACGGTATAAGGCAAGCTTCTGAAAGAAGGACAACTGGAAGAAATCAATGAGGTTTACAATGAGATCCGTGAGAAATGTCCTCCCCTTCGCTTCGCCTGCATTCTGAGAACGATCGTCACTCTCCGTAAAGAGCAATATCTTCAGTTGATGAATGGTCACACAAAAAAGATCTCGAGGCTCCTCAGCAACAACGCTGATATCGACGAACATATGAAGAATCTATCTTCATATAAGTTGTTGGTGATCTTCATGAGATGAAGATCGACGAACAGGACATTTTAGTGTCATACGATGTTTCGTCTCTTTTCACAAACGTACCAGTGGATGAAACAATCGAAATCCTAGCGGAAAAAGCTTTCAAAGACAATTGGTTCAATAAGGAATGTGACTTCAACATCACAATCAAAGTGCTCTGTGAGCAAACTCGTTAATTGAACAAAAGAATTAAAATATTTTTTGGATTATGTTATAAGTATTATCTGGTTTAGGGAATATTGTGGTTGATTTTCATATTTAGAGTACGAGCAGTAGTTCAGTTTTCGCTAATAAGGTACCAAGGAAACAAAGTAACATTTGGATAAGAAGGCATTCCAACTGAAACCATCATACCATTACATTTGACAAGGGGGGAAGAGATCATGTGTTTAAAACATTTATCATTTTTGTTTCTGGTTCACCAAGAAATGGTTGGCAGTAAATGTGGTTGAAAAGTGAACATTGGAAATATTGAAAAATCAAGGCAATACTGTCTTAATGAAAACATTAATCATTCTCCCTTTATCAACTGAGATAAACAGAAACGAGTTTTGAGTTTTGTTGCAAAATGGCATTTTCAGGTTCTGCTTATAAGGACGTACATGTACAAGGACACGTTCATGACATTTTCGATGGAAGTTTCTGATGTAAAAATTCTGTGAAATGCAAAGTCTAGGCGATATTTTCATTTCAAGTTGCGACAAGACGACGAGGAGACATGGGTTACTTTCCTTTGTCGAGGGAAATTAGAGAAAATTAAGCAAAAAGAAAGGAACAGACCTCCAGCTCATGTAACCAATGTAGGTATGCTGATGGTGAAGTATCCACAGCGAAGAATATCTAGTTCCATTGCAGCCTTAAGTTTCACT